ACTGCGGGCCATCACCCGGATTTTTTGTGGTTTCTCCTACAGATTTCGTGCCTGAGGCTTCTTTTACAGTTTTCGTGCCGGAGGGCGTCTAAACTACCAACCTTCGGGTACGGTGCAGGTTGACGTACAATGCATGAATGAATGAATGAGCTGTGGAGCTAAGGTGGGTGGTGCAGACTCGAGAGGCTTGTCAAAGAGTGTTCTGGAGATGGCTCCTTCCTCATGGTGAAGAGTGCCAGGCATGTAGAGCTGGTCGTATCGTCTTTTGCATCTTCCTGTGAGAGCTCTCCAGGTGAAGGTTGCTTCACCGTGGAAGAGGATCGCTCGAAAATCGCTCCGGTGGTTAAACAGGTGCTGAAGCAGAAAGTCATTCAGTGCCTGCAGATGGGAGATTTGGCCGGCTACCGTGTCGTGCTCAACACACAAGCAATCTTTTGCAGAGGCCTTCCGGTGGATCCCATTACAGATATAGTCCCAGGTTTCGATTCGTCCCAGCACGAGTCTGATGATGCTGGGTCGCTCCTGGTTGCACAGTTCTTGTTCCAGAACGGTTTTTCCCAGGTGTCTGAGTATGATGCAGTGGGATGGTCACCGATCTGCTACGCCGCTCTTAATGGGCATGCAGCATTGGTGAAAGCTCTGCTGGAAAGGCGCGCCAACCCGAACGATGAAACCAAGAAGGGGCAGCCGCTGCTGGCTTTGTCGAGGAAGGCGTGCGTGCTCGGCATTTCCGCTCTCTTCCAGAATAATGACGTTGTGATGGTGCTGCTTGCGGCAAGGGCCGATGTCAATCCCAGAGGAACGAATCTTCCGATCTGCCTTGCGTGCTTCGGGAACAATGCTATCGGCATACAGCTGCTCTGTCAAGCCCGAGCAAACCTTCATGGCAAGAATCTTCTCGGCATGTCTGCACTGCAGCATGCTTGCGCAACAGGTGCATGTGATGCAGTTGATATGCTCCTGAAACTGGGAGAAGGTAGCCTTGACGTGAGAGGCTCTTTGCATGCAGCCACTCTTCTACAGGGAGGCACAGAGACGATGGTCGCCAAGTTGATTCACGCCAGGGCCGATGTGAACGAGCAATTGAGCCCCAGGCCTTTGACCATGTTGGGGCTGTTCTGCAATGTGAAAGGCCTGGAATTCAGACTGAGACGTCCAACCAGATTGCGCACCTTCGGCTATCACCATCATGGGGCAACCCCCCTAATGGTTGCCTTGCTGGTCGGGCACTTCGAGGCAGCATCTCCTCTTATTTCTTTTGGTGCAAGCCTGGACACGCCGAATTCCAGAGGCATTACGGCGGCGGATCTAGTTCGTGAGGTGTCCACGCCCCAACTGCTGAAGGATGCAGTGTCTAGCCAACTGGCACTCTCCGCTGTCGCGGAGCCTCCGACGTTTGAGATATGATACAACAACATAAGATAGCAAAGAAATGAATCGACAAGTGAATCAATAGAGACGTAATATGTGTGTATATGCATGTATGTAAATGTATGTGTATATTTTTATATGTGTCTGTATGTATATGTATATGCTTATGTATGTATATGTACATATTCCAAATGTTGGGTATACATATGTATGTATATATATATATACATATATATATATGTATATAGATACATATATATATATATATACATACTTATACATACAGATCTAGAGTGGGTGCAGTGCATGCGCTCAGTCGCTTCACATTGTCGCTCCGGAGGGTGAAAAGGGTTTAGGGCTTAGGGTTTAGTTACAAGAATGAAGCAAGCGTGACAACACTGAGGAGAAACAGCAAAGCAACCCATTGGCGAAATTGGTTCATGCAGAGTCCCAAGCCGCTCATTTCTTCAGACAGGGTGCATGGCCTGACTTGAAGAAGAATCTACACAAGCCTCAGAGACGGGTCAGTTTCATCTGCCATAGTGCTATCATCAGTATAAATAATCTTATCTAGTCCTGCGATCCCCTTCTGATGACCTCAATGTGAGTGCTCTTCTAAGGGGGCATGTAATCATGAGGAAAAGGACCATGCCTGGAGCACCCAGGCAGGCGCTGACCAGAGCAATCCCTATAAGTAAAGACGAACAAGTAGATAAGCAAGTCAGTAAACAGATGAATCGATAGCTGGTGAGTTAGCTAGCTAGCTAGCTAACTCACCAGCTAACTCATTAACTAACTAACCAGCTAACTGACTAACTAACGAACGAACGAACTAACTAACTAACTAGCTAACTAACTAACTAACTAACTAACTAACTGACTAGAATAAATGAATCTGCATATATATATATACACATACATATACATGTGGTCCAAGGGTTGTCAGCTCATCGCCAGTCTCAGTCGGAAAGCAGCTTTGCTGTGCATCTGTCACAACATATGTGCGTTTTACATAAGCAAACATAGGTATAAATTTAGATATACTGGCAAATAAATCACTGGATGCATGTATACCGGTATATATATACCCACACACACACACACATTCATTCAATCACTCACATACACAAAATGTGTCTCCGTGCTTGAGAGAGCAGGTTTGTCCGTCTGTCTGTCTGCCTCTCTGCCTGTCTGTATATGTATTTAAGTGTAGCATGCATGCACATTTTTTCGTGCGTTGACTCAGCTTGATCACACTATGCGCTCTGACGTTAGATCTTCAGGGATTCGGGTACTTATTATAGTAGATGATAGTACAATCTGTCCTATAATATACTGTAATATAGAATCTTACAGTATAATATACAAGATTATAGTATGCTTTCTTTTGGCGTGAGGCGCCTCCGCCGGTAGGTCCGCACGGCTCCAACCTGGAAGTGCATCTCAGCGGCCAGAATCGCGTTCTTTACTCCACTCAAAGGCCACCTACAGGTATAGTCTAAGTACCATACCTCCAACCACAATACCGTGCAAATTTTGGGCTCGACTCGTGTTTCAATCTCCAAGAATCGTACTCCTGTCCCGCACTTATTTCGGCAAGGGGCCACCGTGTTCTGGGGGGATGCCACGGCTGGACTGCAGAAAGGGCGTAGGGCTGGGGCTGATATGTAAAGGCTTAGCAGAGCCGATCCTGCCGTGCGTTCGTGTTCTTGTCGCGCCAGGGAGACTACGTTCGCTGCGTGGCTTGGCAAGCAGGGCATACCTTCAGTGGTCCTGACTGACAGAGTCGCCATAGCCAGCGTGGCAGAGATCACACAGGATTGGGCTCCACATTTCACGGCCGGAAAAACCGTAAAAGCATCCGAAGCATCAAGTCCATGAGAACCTCGAACTGAGGTGGATATTTTGCTGCGCCAGCATAGCGGTGAGAAGGTGCTATTCCGAAGCGAGTCGCCAGCCGCAGTTCCCAACCGATTGATAACAACCTGAACCTCAAACGCCTTCCGAGTATGGCCGCTGCACAGTCGCAGCAGCTGCAGCTTGTCACATGCACAGAATCCCTACACGATGTGCGCTGGTGGTATAATCCAGGGAAGCGGCCGAATGCCGAAGTGGGCAGAGGCCAGCTGAAGACCCACGTTGCTTTCTACTCTGCACCGTTGTCATGCGTTGTCAACGACCATGGGAGAGTACATGTCATCACAGCTCAACTACGCACCGTGTGCTCGAGCGAACTTCTGGTACGAAAAGGCGACACCGTGAATACAACCTCCTCCCTGCTGGTGTGTAGTGGCCGTAGACGTGTCAAATCTCTGGCACTTGTGGGATTGTTGTCAGGTTTACCAGCGTACCAACAGTGCGGAAGCAGCACTTCGAAAGCTTCCGGAGGCGATCCAGCTGGGACTTTTTTGACTTGGTGCCTTCTGGCACTCTTTCGCCGTCAGCTTTTCCACGTACTGTCCACCTGCAAACCCAGCTGGCACTACTTGTGCTGTTCTCATTGCATCCATCAGTTCCAACAACTGTCACGGTTTGCTGTTCAGGGTTATTGTAAACATCATTGCGGGAAGCGTGATGAGAATTGAAAGGGTTTTTGGTGTAATGGTTGTTGTCAGTCACTTTCCGCTACAGTCGCATTCTTCCCCAAGATCTGCATAGGCTCCGTCCGCCGCGACCACAAATTCATTGTAACATCCAATACATTGGCTCTGGATCCTGCCACAGTTCTGTGCGTGATGGAACTTCGGGAAGTCGAGAAATCTGTTACACTGTTCTCCATTTCTGTTCTGTGCCTGGGGGTGAACAGAGCGTGATCCTCGGAATGGTGTTGGTCCGTTATATCGCTGATGCACTTCTGGAACAGTCGCCAAACGTAGCTTTACATCCAGATGAGGGTGGATCATGCAAAGCAAGTTCTCACGACAGGAGCATTGCAAATGTTCAATTCAACCGGTCTACTCCTTTAGGAGTTTCGTAACTCCTTACAGTCATGAAACTCTCTTCTCTGTTCTGTTTTGGGAGGAACCGTCTTCCTTCAAAAGTACGTAGCAGATTTTGCCCCAGATCCCGTAATGCGAATGGCTTCTATAGTTGTCGCGGCTGTATCAGGGGCATGTTGTCTGTGATTTGAGAATTCGTTTTGCTACAGCCTGCCTCATATTACACTGCGGGAAAGTTGCAAAGCAATAACACATGATTATATTTATACTGCTCATAAAACTAGCCATGAACTAGCACTGCTTGCTGCCTAACTGATTGCGAAAAAGTCTGTTAGATGTCAAGAGTGACGGAACTTAAGTCCACAAGGACTTCCAGGCCGAACCACAAAGGCATCTTCACAACATCGGCGTCCAATGACGTGCCGTGAATACTCGAATAGAACTCAAGCGTATACTGTCAAATAAGTGTATTTACATACATACACCCTTATCAGCCGGGCACCATTTTCCGTCTTGTCATGTGGAGGTAGTGGTGATTTTTGGATGAGAGTAGGGCGGCGGGTGGCTGTGGTACTCCAAACCTTCAAGAGCAATGCCGAAACCCACAAAACGCACCCAAAGAAGATGTTAACCCAAAAGTGCTGCTAAGTGCTCCTGTGGTTGTTACATCTCGAGGGCAGCTGCTGGGCTGAGCGGCGTCTCCTGCGTGCCTTGCGCCGACGACAGGCGAGCGAGAAGGGCCCTCTGAGGGTCTTTAGGGGATCCACAGAAAGGTTTCGTGCGAGGGATCCGCAAAATGGATTTGTGTGAGGGATCCGTAAAACGGGTTTATCTGAGCGATCCGTAACAAGGATTCGTTTGAGGGATCCGCCACAAGGATGAGTCTCACAGCCGTTGGCCGCTCGGGTTTGGGGCTTTCGGCCTTTCTGGCTTAGGGCTTCGGTCGGGGCTTTGGGCCTCTCGAAGGTGTCTAGTCCGGGAAAATATGGATTTTTCCAACGGCTCAGAGCCACAGGTGTGGTGAGAGAAGTAGGAAAAGTGCACATCATCTCAATTTTTGTGATTCCCGGTTTCACTTCCGAAGAGTGAATCGTCGAGAAATTTGCTGACTATGCCAATGCCCTTGCATGCTGCGTTTGCTGGGACGATGCCTTTCTTGTCAATCTACTTCTGACCTCCTGGGTGCTTCGACGTGTGGCTTTCGAGACTTCAATTGATTGAAGTAGCTTGGACCAGCGTCTCTGATCGTCCCTGTATTGTATGTCAGGACATTGAAGGTGGAACTGCCATGCCAAAATGGTGTGACGAGGCCATGGATCAGTCTTTACGTAGGCGTTTCGATTCTTAGCCGATTGTTACAGACTTTTCCATTTGCACACATGCACTTATTATGCAGCAGAGGATCTTCCAGCGGGTCTTTTTCCAAGTGGCTCGCCATCACCTCATCACTTTCCTCACGCAAAATGTCGAAGATCTGACAAGAGTTTCACCCCGCTCGCAAGTGGAATCACACGGCTGCCGTTCAAATGACAGTTAGCATTGTTGCACAGAGGAGGGTGTTTGCCTGCTGTATTGGAACGTGTTGTATTTGGATAGCAGACTTTTGTAAGAGTATTTTGAAGAAACCAAGGCTTGAACAGGAAGGTGCTCTCAGATGGGGGATCGATGTCACACAATTCATGCTACTTCTGGTTTTCGGGGGGATGTTCTGTACATGCTTGCTATCATCTGAAATTGGGGGGGGGTGTACATCGATCATTTGGCTGTGCTCCAGTGTGCAGCTGCTGCGGATTCTAGCTCTACGGGTCGTCTACCCGGCCCATACCAGCTCGTATTTCTGCGACCACTACAGACGCGTTCCCCCCGCCACCCCGTTTGCGAGGTGGGGGTGTGTTTGTTCCGGCTGGTCGCTTGACCTGATCCCCTCAATCTGATTTCACCGGAATTTCTGGGATTGATACGCAGACTGTGTCGTGCCTGAGTGAGGCTTACCGGTCAGTGCCGTGTGCAAGCAGTCTGCTCGCTTTTGCACAGTTTGTATAGTTTTGTATCAGTATCAAGCAAACAGGCTCCTGCATTTTTGATGAGTACCTTCAATGCAGGAGCAAACTTCGCCTCCAAAGAAGCGAGCCTTGATTCAAAGCCGGGAATCTACTTCAGTTCCAGCCCTCCATGGACTCAACACGCCTGCCTCCGTTGAAACTCCTGGACCTCCTAGGCATGCGATGGGGCGAAGTTGCTCGTGAAGCATTTTTGGCTCTGCCAAGGACAGCATCCCGCACAACCGGCCTACAAAGTCAATGCAGTGTGGGGTGGATACAATCTAAGAACAAGCTGCGAGTCATGCCGCTCGCAAGACCGAACTCACCCGTCTTCCAGGACCATTCGCGCCCTGTACGCCCACTCTTACGTGGACAGACTTTGGAACTTGGGTGCCACCGAGCGCAGACAAATGGGTCTGCAGCTTCTCGCTCGGAAGATTGTCGTTACCTGTGCTGTCGTCGAAGTCTCCTTATGTCTCCTTCACCTTCCTTCCTGTAGCAGTCCTTCAGGTTGTCGGAACTTAATGGTTCTGCTCTGCAGCATAACGGTTCGCCTGCTGTCCACCGGTGTATCGAGTGCACACTCATGTCTGATTGCTTGAGGCCGGTCCAGGGCGACCTCATGGACGATACAACGCAACCCGGAACATGCAGGCTGGATTCTGGCGCACAATCATTGATGTTTACTACTGCATATTAATGGGGCTGTTTTTGTTTTGGTTTTTTGGGGGTGCTGTCGGAAAGGCTTTCTCTCTGCCCTGGGTAGGCCCGGCGCCCAACAGCTTCTTGAGCAGGCATGGACAGAAAGAAAGCCCTCCGCCCTGTCCGGGGCGTTATCGGTATCCCAACGTGGACACGGTCTAAAAAAGCCTTTTCTCCCGCGCACGAGTTTTCTTACGTATCTATGCCCAAAAAAGCTTTCCCCTCAGCGGACAGGGCTTTCAGTGGCCCTTTGCAGCCCGGATCGAGACTCCTCGGGCCCGAGATGCTGAGATAAAAGCCTTCCTGATCCAACAACGGGGCTTAAAAGGTCGTCTGCAATGAAGTTCAATTGGGCCCTGTGGGGGGCTTCAATGCGCCTGAGGCAACAGGAACAGATGAAGCCCCGACGAAGGCAGAAAACATTTCGACAGGCCACACCGTTTAGTGCTTCTTGCCACTATCGCCCGGCCTTCCGCTCCCGCCCTTCGCTGGCTTCCTGCCCTTCACGGCCTTCCGCATTCCTGCCCTTCACTGGCTCCCTGCCCCTCACAGCCTTCCTGCGCTTTGCCCTTCGCGGGCTTCCCACCCTTCACCGCCTGCACGCCTTGCGCGGGCTTTCGCCCCTTCATGGGCTGGCTGCCCTTTGCGGGCTTCCTGCCCTTCGCGGGCTCGCTGCCCTTCGCGGCCGTCCTACTCTTCGCTCCCGGCCCCTCGCGGGCAGAACCGGGATCAAACGAAATTAAATTTGGATCAACAAAGTTAAACAGAAGGAACAAAGGAAGGGGACACCCTTTTTTGTGACATCGTTCATTTTTTTCTGACAACGGGCCTTTTTTTCAGCAGTGGTTCTTTGTTCTACGCACCCCAGTGGGGGCATGTCTTTGTTTCGACATTGAAAAACTTCCATCTGACAGCGGATGCTTCTTTTTCGGCAGCGGGTGCAGCTTGTTTTGGATTGGCTCACTCTTTTCTGACAGTGTCAATCTCCATTCTGACATCGCTCT